GCACAGGTGACACGGGGACATGGGGGGGACACACGCGTGGGACACGTGTTGGGGACAATGGGACACAGGAGGGGACGCGCGTGGGGACAGGGCATGGGGCATATGTTGGGGACATGAGGCGGGGGGGATGTGTGTGGGGACAGGGTGTGGGACACGTGTCGGGGACATGGGGACACAGGAGGGGACATGTGCGTGGGGACGGGACATGGGGCACATGTTGGGGACAAGGGGATGCAGGAGGAGACTGGATGTGGGATGTGTTGGGGACAAGGGGACACAGGATGGGACATGTGCATGGGGTGCAGAACATGTGCTGGGGACAAGGGGACATGGAAAGGGATGTGCATGGGGAGAGGACATGTGGCATATTGGGGACAAGGAGACGAGGGAGGAGATGGGGTGTGGGGACAAGATGTGGGACGTGTTGGGGACAAGGGGATGGAATGGGGGACAAGGGGACACAGGAGAGGATATGGGAGGGGATGGGACGTGGCACATGTTGGGGACAAGGGGACGCAGGAGGGGACACACGTTGGGATGAGACACAGCAAGAGGGGACACCCAGAGGGGGCCCCAGTCGCACATCCTGGTGCACGTTGGGTGGTCTGGAGRRTCKTAGCGTGTCCTTAGCGTGTCCCTAGCATGTCCTTAGCGTGTCCCTCACGTGTCCCCGCAGCCACAGGCTCTCCTGCGAGATCGAGCCCCCCGGGGAGCCGCCCCCGCGGCCACCGAAGCCCTCCCTGGTCATCACCCACTGCACCGAGTGAGTGGCACCGAGGTGGCCCCTGGGGGCCACCACCCCCCTGGGCCACCTTGTCACCCCCGAACCTCCTTGTCACCCCCCGGGCCACCTGGTCACCCCCTGGGCCTTTCTGTCACCCCGTGGGTCTCTTTGTCACCCTCTGGGCCACCTTGTCACCCCCTGGGGGCCACCACCCCCTGGGCCTCTTTGTCACCCCCTGAGCCTCCTTGTCACCGCCCGGGTCTCTTTGTCACCCGCTGGACCTCCTTGTCACCCCCTGGCCCTCTTTGTCACCCCCTGGGCCACCTTGTCACCCCCTGGCCCTCTTTGTCACCCCCTGGGCCACCTTGTCACTCCATGGGCTTGTCACCCCCTGGACCTCCCTGTCACCCCCTGGACCTCTTTGCCACCCCCCCGGGCCACGTTGTCACCCCCGGGGCCTCTTTGTCACCCTGTGGGCCACCTTGTCACCCCATGGGCTTCGTCACCCGCCGGGCCACCTTGTCACCCCCTGGACCTCTTTGTCACCCCCTGGACCTGTCACCCGCCGGGCCACCTTGTCACCCCTCGGGCCTCTTTGTCACCCCCGGGCCCCTCTGTGACCCCCCGCAGGCTGCTGACGTCGGTGGGGACGCCCTCGGTGACGTGGGAGCAGCCGTGTGCCCCGGCCGAGGCCACGGGGACGCCGCCGAGCCCCGGCCACCTCCTGTCCCGCCTGGCGCAGGTGAGAGCCGGGCGGCTCGGGCAGCGGGGTGACACCGCCGCGGCGTCACCGCGC